AGGGAAACAAACAGCTGTTACTGAAATAAACTGAAATTGACAAAAGTAATTAAAAAAAATAAAAATTGAATGAACATCATGACATTGCTTTTGAATTGTGGTTCAACAGAAATATATTTTTTAAAACCAAACAAAAACAACAAGCATGATGGGACCCATAAACTACTATTTTGTTGAACAACCCTTTGAGCCAATCACTGCAATCAAGTGTTTTCTGTAACTCTCCATCAGACTTCTGCACCTGTTGACAGGTGTTTGGATTTTGGTCCACTGCTCATCAGCAAAGTGCTCTCATTTGTCCAGGACAGTTTTGTTTGTTTGTTTTTTTAATTATTCTTTTCAACCACAATTCAAAAGCAATGTCTTACTTCACTAAATTATAATTTAGAATTTTTTTATTTATTATTACTTTTTTCTGTTTCTAGTTATTTGAGTGACTATTGTGAATTTTGCCTTTTCTTTAATGGAAGGATATGAATACATTTGAGGACGACTGTACAGTATATAGAAGTGAATCAATAATATCTGAATCAATATTAATTTTATTCTTGGATCAAAAGAGTTTTTGTACATAGAAACTACCCTCATGTGTATTTGGAAACAATCTAAACATGATCAAATGAGAATAACTGACATCTATTTCATTCAGACTGATCAACAGCTTCATTCTACAAGCTGTCAGATTTTTGATTTGATTCATCTTAAATATTTGGGTTTTTTTTTCCCACAGCACGTTACAGTGGAGTCTATTGAATATGCACAACTTGGAATTAGCACACTTGTAATATTTTGTTCACTGGGATTCTCTGCAGATTTTTCAACACTTCCTTCAACAAAAGTGTTCAGTTTAGAGAGACACAAACAACAAGTTTCCAGTTTACACAGCAACATGTGATTTTATTTATTTCTTTGACGTCATCATCAGAAATAGAAACTGCAACAGAGTCACGACACTATTTGCAGCCCTGCGGTCGAGCGATCGGACGCGATCATTTGCTGAATGTACTGATCAGCTGTTTTGTTTCTTTCTCATTGTACTTTAGATTTGAAATGACCAAGCAGAGCAGTAGAGCACCTATTTGCCTCAGCAGTGACAACAGAACAGACATGTCAGTCATTACAAAGAATCACAGAGTAAAAAAAAAAAAAGAAAGAAAGAAAGATAAAACATCCCACTATATCCGGTCTTTCCTTCCCAGAGTACAGAAGACATGGCTGGGCAGATGAAAGCCACAGTAAGACTCACTTTCTGTTTGTATGTAACGATATCAAAGAAAGCTGACAAAGATTCACTTTAACATAAAGTCACACATTGTGTCATGTGAGAGAAACATCTTTGCTGAAGGACGTAACGCGACCGAAGCTTGCAGACGGTTTTGACCTTTCAGGTTTACGGGGCCTTTAGTTTATAATGGTAACTGCTGTTTGCACTGTTACTATGGCAACCGTCCCCTAACGAGGAAGTCATGGTGAAAAAAGGGCGAGTGAGTATTCAAATTCCAGCTCTGCCGCTGGAAGCCACAGACGAGCAACGTAAAGGGCAGCCATTGTGATGCTCAGGGCTGTTAAAGGGGAGGCAGCAGGGGGCATTGTGGGACACACAAAGCAGGAACTTATTGTACAAACTGAGGCCACGTTGCTAGAGAGGCATCTCAACAGCTGATGAAGTCACAAAACTGTTGCTGTTAATACGTCGATTTCTAATCACGGTTTGAATTAAAGTCGGTGCAAACAACTGAACCTCAAAGGGAGACTTTTTTCAACATTGTCTGCGTGATACTTCATTTTTTTTGGTTGCCATTTTTTTGTTTGCAAGGTTGATATGCGTAAAAGAGTGATTCAACAATCTGTGTGATTTTAATCTAAAGGCAGACATACTTTTGAAGATCTTAAATGGGTAGAATAATCAATCAAACAAGCTTTTTCCAGAGCTTACAACCTTGTTCAACTGCTTCAAACACAGTTACGAATAAAAATAATGCTGGTTGAAATACTCATTTTACCCAAGTAGTCTCATTACTCGCTAATGTTGAAGTGATCTATAATCTGAGACAGCTTTCTTTAAATAGGGTGGACATTCTTTTGACACGTAAAAAGCCTGAAAACACGATTGCTTTGTTGCTACGACAGATCGCCATTAAATGAACACAAATGTTTCTGCCAGAGTTAAACCACTTTGTGTTCTAGTTGTGTGAGTCCTTGCTGTTCGTGGATGGTTTTAGGTGAACAGAAAAACAATATTTAAAATCAAAAAGCTGTCGTGCTGTCGCTTAAATCTGATCCTGGAGAAGTGATGCAAATAATCTGAGTGTCAAAATGAAACTATCTTGGATGTTTAACGATACAAAGAACTGTAAAATTCGAGAACGACTGCTGCGTAAGCTCTACGTTACTTTACTTGATGCTCCGCGACAGGGGAACTAAATTTAGGCCACACACAGACTCGTCACACTGAGCCTTTTGTGTCATCGGCTCATCAGCCTCATTTGCATCACAGAGAACAGGAAGACACCGGCAGCATGTCAACACCCTGCAGGTCGGGCCTCCCAGCCGCCTGATGACGCTACGGTCGCTTTGAAATGTCTGCGCTCACACGTGCTCTGCTGGCCTTCATCTTTTTTTTTTGAATGCTATGTAAACATATCGATAGTCAGAAAATACTATGTCTTTACATTATGTACAAAGTGAATCACTAACCAGCGGAGTCACTGTTTCAGCTCGATGTGATGGAATGTCGGAAAAGTTTCTACTCTCCTGTTTGCGGAGTCTACTGGTGGTGGATCGGCTACATTAAGCTTTAAGGCAATGCAGTGACGCGAGTGTTGGAGCCATCGAGGCAATGGCACGATGCAGTTTGAAAGGCAAGTGGTGCAAAGTGGTCGACGGAGCGGAAGTTGGGCTTCTTCGTGTTTTGCTATTGCATTTGAGCCGTTGAGCTAAGGTTCTGGAACTGTGAGCCTTTGAACGATACTTGAACAGCTCTTAGGAAGCCAACTGGGTGTAAAAAAATACTTCAGAATGTTTTAAGGGGTTTCTCGGGGTTTGCTCTTTTCGCACAACAAAAGAAAATACATTCACTTACATGAAAATACTACAGTTTTACATCAATGTGGACAAGCATAACTGCTACCAAGACTTTTCTATATTGTTTCACAGGCAAAAGTGAAGACATGTTGTTTTACACCAGACAAGCTGAGCAGCACGTATCTCAATCATTGCTGTCGTCTTTGTTTGGACGAGTAAACAAAGGTGGGAGATGAGCTAAAATCTTCTATTTGGTAAATAGTCTGGATTTATTTGGAGCAGAATATAGTTTTCAAGAAATTAGAAATGTGAATGAAAGTACATTTATAGCTCCTCTGGTTCATCAGGTGTTTTTGTCCAGACTGATGCAACGCTGTAATGTTTGATAATTCCATACCCGCTTTAGCTTTTTCTCTTTCTTATCAATTCTGCTTCACATTTTTTCCTTTACCTTGTTATCCGTCAAAAGGTAAAGGAAAAGTGTTTCGAAAAAGACATCAAACGTCATTTTTTTTGACTAATCTAACGCAACCCAAATGTCATTAAAAAAATGCAATGAAAACATAAGCTAAGCTAATACATTTTTGATATTATTTTTGTGATACACAAAATGAAAAACGTCATTTTCTAACTCCGTGGATGGAAAATACAGTCTTAACTTAAAGGGCCGTTTTGTGTGAGCATGTTTTCATCCAGATGGTTAACAGTGCCTTTGAGATTTCAGGAAACCCCTTTAAACAGTGACAAGTGTTAAATTACTCTCTGCGGGAATCCATTTTTTATAAAACTAGCTGAGTCGCTCTGTGCTCTTGAGACTGTAATGGCAATACATGAGAGCAACGAACTGGAGCTCGGCTGAATTATGACCGTTTAGAACTGCTGCTGCTGCAAATGATTCTTATCATAAAGGCGCAGGCTGAGAGAAAACACAAGATGACAGCCTTCACAGTAGAAAAATTAGATCCGACTGTCAAAATAATCTCATGACTTGTGATATTTTCCGTGTGGTTTCAGACGCGTTCAATGCTTTTCTTTCACAGCATTAGCGTTTATCATGTATTAGCCTAAATAGGAATCGTTTCCTACGTGCACGTCTACTCCAAGATATTATGGAGGAGTTCTAACACATTTACAAACTACTGACACATACATAAACAGGGTACGAGGAGTACCGCGGTTGGTATACACGGCCGTAATATCTGTGACTTTATATATCGTAGCAACATTAATATACCAGGATTTTGTAAAAAGTGACACTGCAGTTATTTTAAAACTGGTCAGACTTTGTCTACATCTTCATCATGCAGAACCAAACGAACAATTCTACTTTTTTCTGCTGGTACAAGGCCACTGCGATCTTTGTGAGGTATCGAAGCAAAGGAACCACAAAGCAAACAAAGCACTGTTAGTCTACAGCAGAGAGCGGCCAAACTAAAAAGACACGGTGACAGCAGCAAGGGAAGGTACAATAAGTCTTGTAACCCTGAATGAAACAGACACTGAAACTCGGTCTCAAATTGTCAGAGCTAATTAGCAGCATCACATAGTCAGTAGTGTTGGACATCGATATCATTACAGACACTTGCACATACAGTACACAGACAGCTAAGCAGGCAAAAAAGCTTCTGTCTAAAAAGACCAATTTGCCATTTGTCAGTTTCGTTAATGCCCCACCCCCTTAGAAAAAAAGGAAGTTGTGAACAACTGATTTGTTTGTACAAACAAAACAAGAACATGTGGAGAAGTTCATTGCATCTTGCTCTTTGCAAATCATTAACCTGATACAGACTCAGCTACTGGATTACCCTTAAAAGGTGAAACACCTTCATATGTTTTTCAGATTGTTGTATTTCGCATGAAATGAGAGGATAACTGCACTGTAGATGGGCAAGAAGAGCAAATGCCAATTTACACCAAACGCAGAGGAAACTTTGTGTCTGTCTACTTGTCTTTCTGCAGTCATTTTACGTTTGGTTTCACTTCCAGCTCGGCTTGGAGCTTCTGCTGGACGTCCCCAAGTCTTTAGGCTGCAAAGATTTCTCAGAAAAGCTGCTAGTCTTACGAATATCCTCTCGTGTTGCAGGCGGAGGTGGGGTCTCGCTACGGTAGGCGCTACGACTCGCCGCCTTCACGCTTTGCACCCGTCGCAGGTTTGTCCCCGGTAGCCGCTCCTCGCTGGCGTGAGCTGTGGGCGACGCCCGAGTCTGCTTCGCGGAGGTTTGTCGACCTAGGAGCGAAGGGCTGCGAGATGGGGTGGAGGGGACGGACGGGGGGCCCAGTTCCTTCTTGGTCCTGGAAGACGAAGATACAGTGTTACGGGCAAAACTGGGCACGTCGGAGGTGTTTTTCGCACTGAGCGTGTGCGAGCTGCTGTTCTCAGAGGAAGCCGCAGCCTGAGTGTGAGTCTGGGCCTGGGCGAGAGCTCTCATGGTGGAGCGGCACATCTTCTCCTCAGGCGCAGGCTTGGGGATGTTCCTCAGGGGTTTGGCGCTCGGCTTGTGGATGGAGGCTTTCCTCGGCATCGAATCGCGTGCCCATCTGGAAATGCTGCCTGTGAGGCTTGCTGCCCTCTGCCCTTTTGACTCATCAGGAGGCAGACTGGAGTGTCGAGGAGGTCTTGTTGTCTTCTCGCTCCTCCCTCTCGCCGGGGTGCTCTGGTCACGGAGAGGCCGGCGTGCGTCTCCATTGTCCACTGAAGGTCTCTCTGTTCTCTTGTTGCTTCCTGTCCTGGTCAGCTTGCTGATGGGCACAACTTTCCGCATGCCCTGGCTCTCGCTGCTGGTCAGCATTCGAACACCACGACCGCTGCTGCACTTAGTCGGTTTGTTAGCTTTGTTCTTTGCTTGCACCGGTTTCCTGCCGTTTCTCTGAGCGTCTTTCTCGGCGCCCTGTTTTCCTTCAGCGGTGTCACAGCTCTCCGTGTCCCACTCTTCTGTGGTGGCGGACGGGGTGATGGACGCTGTGTCCACAGATTTCAGCGCTGAGAGCTCACTGGTTGAAACAGACTGGTCGTTGGGAGACATGGACTCCAAATTCGAAGACAGAGAGCTTGGATCTTGTTGCGTCTCCTGATCTTTGCTACAGTCAGTCGTTCTAAAATGAAGTCCGTCTTTTGCTGACGAGCTTTCAACCTCAGAGTAGTCCAATGTGACAGAGCAGTCTGTTTCTGTGCAGTCTAATATGTAAAACACTGGCTTCTTATTAGATACTGAAGTATCTAGCGGGAGGGGAGTATCACAGGTTGTTGATGAAACTGTGCTGTAGTCCTCGTCTTCTTTCTCTCTCTCAGGAGAGACCCCAGCCTGTGTGGGAGGATCTATTTTAACTTTGTCATGTAAAAGGTTTTCTAGAATCTTTGGAGGTGACCGTCTTTCCTTTTCCAGATCTGTCACCACAACATCCCCCTGGTTGACAAAGTGCATATGATTACTGTTATTGTTTGGACTCGGCAGGTCAAAAGCTTGAGGACCTCGAACTAAAGTATGCTTCTCCACACTAACATTCATGTGGCCGGTAATTGTTGGGTTGGGGAGATGGGCAGGCTTCTGAAAGACACAAAAGGGACGAGGCAGAGCACTGCCCTCCGACAAAGATGAGTAATTATTGTTATTGTTGTACGGGTCCTCATTATCATTGAGTCCAGAGGAGGAAAACCTGGCCAGGGGGCTGATTGGTTCAGTTTCTGCGTGTGGAGACGTCACTTGTCTGTCACAGCCCAGCTCACGGTTGTCGTTCTGGGATAAAATCCAGGGAGTCGTCCTCCTCTGGAGAGCGCGGCCTGACCGAGGTAGGCTGTTAAACTTGGAATAGTCAGTGGGATTCCCAGTGCTCCCAAATAGCTCAAGATATCCCTGGAGCTCGCGATCTGCTATGGAGGTCATGGTGTGCCGGTGGCGGCGGGCGCTGGCAGAGCGTCCCAGCGGGCTGTGTGGACTCTGAGACCTCTGCTGGAAGAAGTCCAGAAGGCCCTCCTTGGTGAGCATTTCCACATCGTTCTCGCTGCTGCTGCGACCAAACCCGCCGCTCTGATCTGCACCCGACCACGCAAAACGCTTTTCCTCCAGTTCTCTGAGGCGACGCTGTCTGGCTGCTTCCTTCAGCTCGCGGTCCATGTTGTCCTGAGAGAAACAGAAAGGAGGGAATTTTACAGAGTGTGGAGCACACACAACAACAGCATCACGCCAGACTAGAGGGCATCATGTCAAGCAGATTTTTACCTTGATTTTCACCCATCTTAAAGGAAATTTCAAAGTTATTTGAACACAAGGTTCTCTTGATCACGTATTCACAAATAACACAGTGTGCACAATTTCTTTTGCTATGTAAGCAGAACCTTTTATGTTGATTGAAACCTCACCTGAATCCTTTTGACTTAATAAAGCCAAAATAGTTTCATTGCAGTTTATGATGCCAAATTTAGTTGCTGTACTCGAATCCGTCTGTCTGAAAAAACTGAATGCTTCAAAGATCTGATTGTCAGTACATCCAATGGCAGCAAGGGAGCATCAGGAAAGGGTGATCTCTGGCATGCATTAAGTCAGCGGTCAGCATTTTAATCTCACAGAATACTGGAGTTGCTGGTCTACTGATGTGTGACTTCTTGTGTATTGACTTGTTAATTCGTTACTTTGGATCTGAAGACAGTAACGTGAACAAAGTGACCGATGGAGGAAGTGGTAGGCCAGTGTTCTGTGAAGAAAAACTACTGTTTTTGCCACTAGAGTCTGGTGGATTTGGGGAGAGCAATATAACTGTCTCACAGTGAGGTAAAGCTGTTGAGATCTGAAAGATAGCATACACATAAACTGAAATAGATTTTTTTACTTGGGCCTATTTTCTTTAGGTGGCTAAGATTAATTTTGCTGAACACTGCCGGTACGTCTCCAAAGCGTACCGACTGCCATCTACTGCAGGTAAAACACTGACTATTGATAAGTGCCCCGTACAACCCCACTTCAAAGATACCAATCTATGCCTATAATGTGCCCATGAGATTCCCTGGCAATATAGATCACACAACCACAAAATTAGAGCATAAAGTCATTCTGGATGTTCTTTGTTGTATTTTCCAACAGAGTTTGGCTAACCTCTGCAAAATCATCACAGTTGTCTGCTCATGGCTTTTCTATTTTGTGTTGCCAGATTTCAGCCGTGTTTTTATTCCAGACATGACAGATTGCCAAATCTATAGGTCAGAATCGTCTTTTCCCTCACACTGACCTTAACGGCTTTCTTGAACTTAATGCAGAAGTCTTGAAAGATGCGGAAGCATTCATCCAGCTTGAAGGTGTCCTTATCTTCGCAAAAGAAATCGATGAGAGCGTTCCCCTCTTTACGCAGATCCAGTCTGCGTCTCTTTAAGTCCTGCAGTGTCCGTGCTGAACTCTGAGACGGGACATCACACACACACGCACATACACACACACGTGTACATTTTTTATGTATAACGTGCTATCCACTTTTATCGTTGTGATTATCTACAGCGCTAGAGTCAGCAGCTTCTGAAATATAAAATGGCTTGAATCCAACTGTCTGTGTCTGTGTATATAATGTATTACATAACGGCTGCTGCGGCTTCACCTGCAGAAAAGGCTCCAGCTGCTGCAGTAGCTCCTGGTCTCCTTGAACCTTCTCCTCCAGGGATTTGATTCGGACATATAAGGAGGAAAACTCCACCTCAATGTTTTCCACTGAAATTCTACATGAAAACAGCAGAAAGATCAGGGAAACATACTTGTGCTCATCCATTAAATTACAACACTGCTGGCTGCAACCAGCTATTATAATTCTGCTTAGCATCACTGCATATGACAACATTTTGCTGAATGCACTGTCAGACTGTCAGCGGTGAAGACGGGACTGCTGTGAGACATGTTTTTACATTCTGTATCCTGAGGGAGGGCGGAGGGGAGGGCTAATCTTGGCTCTGTGCTGCAGGAGCTGCACTGCCACCTCACACAGCGATGACCTTGTGAAGCTGACAGAGCCTGACAGTCGCAGGAGTCGCACTGTGCTGCGAACAAGACTGTTTAAGTGCAGCACTTAAGTTTGATGTCAGTTTGGGCAATGAGGCTGGACTCGGCTGTATCAATGAAGATATAACACCTTCACAGTCTGACTCCCATTCAAAAACGATCAGCATCTCAGGAAACACCAAGTCAGTCATTATTTCAATGAGTCATTATGGTCTCAATTACTAAACTGGGCCCTCTGGTAAGTGTGCAGATGGTCGTTTTGGAAATTACTGCTCCATCTTTTGAGCTCTTTGATGTCTCCTGTATGGCTGCTGATTGATGACTGACAGCTTGCCTGGTGCTTCCCCTCACTCCTGAAGTCATCCTCTAGACTTTAGGAGCAGGAAGTTACACTAACAAGACTCAAAAAGATGCTGCTATGTGATATTATGTTATGTTTAATGCCCTGTTAGTACAATGTACAGAAAGTAGCTAATGTTTTAATATTAATATCAGTAGTGTATTATAGTAGGCGAGGGTTAAAGTCTAATGTAGTCACTTTTTGCAGCTGATTGAAATATCCTTTAAATATCCGTCTAAATGTTGCATTAATTTCACCAGCTACATGCTTGGCTGGTACCATACATTGGGTATTTAAGAGCTTCTGTGGTTGTAAACAACACCAAAGGGGACTAAGAACCAACACAATGAAGCCAAGATGCTGAAAAATCTTCTCTGTGGGTTTCACTACATACGCTGATGCATTCCTCGTAGAGTTGTACCTTCCTAGGCTCCATCTTCTTAGGACTACAAACTGTAATATTGTTCTTGTTTAAAATATGTGAGAATGGAGTTTAACTCTTACTGGCAGAAACTTTATTGCCACAACTTGTTCTCTTTGTTTACCTGGCTGCACTCTGGACATCCTGAAGGTTCTCTGGAAACTTGAGCAGCTTCTCGTCTTTTTTCTTTGCCTCCTGCGTGTGTACAGACACATTGAACAATTCACATCCAAATGTTTGGTGCTCTCCAAGGCAAAGTGGCATAATTGCTGTGCTGAGGGAGTAATCTTTGCTGGGTTATGTAACTGCTTGGACAGCCACTCTTGGCTCTTTTCTGTTTCCTGTCACCATCTGCTGTCCACCTGCCCCCCTGTGATCTCAGCGGTCACACACTGTTTTCTCAAACACTGCTGCTATGAAAGATTTACATGAAATGAACTCTCTGACTGAGAAATAACTGTCTTCTACACATTACTGTATTACTGAAGTTTTGTCTGATTAGACTATGGAATTTCTAGAAATAGCAGCGACTTCTACAATTGTTGTACTATAAAATACTTCAGTGCATATTGCTGTTATTTACTCAGGTAAGAAACTGTGCTAAAAAAGTGAATTCTGTATTATTGTTCTTACATAGAAGTAAAAACAGCACAGGTTTGACTTAATGCAACTCAATCAGTAACCCTGAACCAGACAGTAACTGCATTTCAGCATTGAAAGCTGAAAAGGCTGAAACCACATCACATCAATGCTGATGTGCCTTCATTGTCATTTCTGAAACCCCACTTTGCTGTGCTGTATTGTGTTACACAAGACAGAGATCCTAATGGTATTGTATAAGCATAGCTTCACTAACCATGGCCACAAAATGCAGCAGGTTCATTCCTGGCTTGTTGGCCTTGGTGTCAGCCAGTGAGAGGAGGGATGACAGCTTGAATCCCACAGCATTTCCTGCATAGCCGCCCTGAGAGAGGAGGGACATTTGACAGAGGGTAAAAATGAACTTTGTCACAGAAAAACAGCAACATGTTAAAGGATAAGGGTGCTGACATATGAGTATTCTTTTCTGATGCAGCTTATTACTCCGCAAAATATAAGACAGAAAAAAGTGGACTGTATTTTTCAGTCTAAGATCAGAGGATTGATGCCAAAACTTTAGCCTGCACAGAGCTAGCGGGGTAGCTTAGCTGTCCACAAAGGCTGAAAACAGGCAAAGACTTCACTTGGATTTGTGCAAAGATAGAAAACTCCTTCAACCAGTACTTCTGAGGATTTAAAAAAAAGTGAAATAATGTTGTAAGTGTTGTGCTTCAGAAGTGCTGGTAGGCAAATTTTGTTAACTGTGGTTACCATCTCTAACACATGCACCATTTCTTTTCCAAGTAATAGCATTAAACTACAGCTGTGTAAGGAAATGACTTTGCATATGACTGTAACAAAACAATACATGTGTGACCTTTTCCTGAAGAGGCATTTCATCAGTAGGAATGAATGCAGCAGACGGCCACAAACAGATCAGAGAAGTTGGAAAGTAAACAGAAACATATATCCATTTTTTTTGGTGACAACAATAAAGACATGTTTAATTCAGATAACAGAGTGGTGTCGATGTTTGTGAACTCCTACAGCTCTTACAGCGTTCATGATGTTTCCAGCCTGCAGCACCAGATGCAGGATGGCATGTAGCTCCTCACAGCTCATCAGCTCTATAAGAAGAGATCAATATAAACGCAATTAGAAGCTCCAGAGCACATCGCAGCGACTCATTACACACTATTTCATTTTCACTTACACCTCCCATACAGGAAATCTATCAGCAGCAATAACGTGTACATTCCAGATTCATCAGAAGGTAAATGAAATGTCTTCTTTCTGTCTGAACATCTGGCCTGTTAGTACTAACTGTAAGGGTAAATGTTAAACACAGCTGAAAGATTTAATTAAATTGTGTCATAAAAGTTCCACTTAATTGTCCCATGCGGTGCTTAGCTGATTGCCCTGCAATGCAGCGAAAAGGTCACGGTGCTGGAGAGGGGGATTTTAGGAACAATCCAATACGGAGAGGCACATAGTGTGACTCAGCTAAAACGACACTGAGGCTCAACTAACGGTCGAAAATAAGTTGAAGAAGTTTCCTGCTCAGTTCATAAACAGCCAGAATATCCATATATTATGGATACAGCATGGATGAGCAAGAAAATGTAAATACATCAGTTATACTGTCATAATATTTAAATGTCTGCAGCACTGGTAGCTAAAAGGTAGTCTCCTTAGACTTCTAATTGGCACTGCATTTTTACTGCTTCTGGTTAGAAGCTAAACTGCACTCCACTGTCTTAATACTTGTACTGTGCGTGCAATGACAATAAAGTCAGATCTAATCTAATCTAAACGTGTAATATAAATATAAATGTGTGCATAGAATATGTATGCATGTGAGAATGAATTTGCATGTTTGGATGAGCACTAATCTACCCTCAGTCATAATTCTGAGAGTGTGACTACATCTAATAAAAGTAACATTTAAAAACAAAAACAGGTATGCACTCTCTTTGTGACTGGTAATTTTGCCATGCTAGCTTGGACCAGGCTGAAATATCAACAACTTTGACATAAAAAAAGTTTGGTGCACACATTCATGTCCCACATAAGATAAAAATCTTTGGGGAAACCTTCCATGTATTGCTCAGCTGCTAGCACTGCTGTATTGTGTTTGACATGTTTAATTTAAATTTTACACGAGTATTAAAAATGTTCTGCTCTGCTCAGCAACACCGAGGAGCCTGATTTGAAGTGAAACTAAACAAAAATTTTGGAAATGTTTGCAGTCGTTTATAGAGAATGATGCCATTCAAAGCGTTTCATGTGGATTTTAAAAAAACAACACAAAACATGACACAGCCTTCTCTTCCAGTCTGTCCTCACGTCGCTGTTTCTCAGGTGACATGTTCCTACTTTTTGTTCATCACCGCTGACAGCTCAGATTTCTGGGTCACCTGTCTGAGCCTCTGCGCGCGAGAGTCTGTGTGTCTGTGTGTGTGTGTGTGTGTGTGCATGTGTGTGTGAAAACAGCACAATTTGTGTGTTACTACCTTTAGTGGCGACACGGACGACATCAATCTCATGTCCCATCACTGCACAGCAAGGGAAGAACTCTTCGCGGAGGACCATGGCCTCGATTCGAACCTCGAACCTGTCAGAGAAGGTGCAGAGGGAGTGTTTAAAACTGAGATGAGAGTCAAAAGGGTTGACTCAGCGTGCAGTCATGATTGTCGACAAGTGAACAGGAGGCATAGCTAATGGAGGTTAACTTAACATATCTTTCTGGCAGTAAGAGAGGACAGATTGCAACACATCCAGATATCCATTCCAACATGTTTTCATCATTATCTAAATGCTAGGATTCACTCTAAATGATTGACTTTTGTTTGTTTAATTTCAGTGGACACATGCTGTGGTTCAGTCCAGTAAATCTCCATTTCTTTCTCCATCATAACTCCTGCTGTGACTGCATCCTCTGAAATACCACTTGCATGTGCTATCATCCCCTGCTGTTAGAGAAAATAAAATCTGAAGTGTGTTAGTCCTTTCTAAATATAAATATCAAACTATGAAAATGTGCTTTTAGTGAAGTGAACTGAAAATAACATGCTAGACTCTTTATACGTGCAGATTTTAACATTTAAAGGAAGGCAGATCAAAATTACACACAACACACACTTTTTCCCAGTCATATTTGAATATAGTACGAATGAAATTGAGCACTTCTGCTCAGTGAAATTCATGAGCGGCACCAGTTCACTGGAAAATCCCAACAAAATGATGAAACTCGGTCCTCTGTACAAGATTTCAGCGTAAACCTTTCATCTTCCACTGACTGTCAAACTTCTGACTTCACATTTCCCTGTGATCCAGGCGGCGTTTGTGACCATTGAAATCAACTCACCGTGGCACCTGGATCAGAAGGTACATAAAGGAATCAACCAGTGTCAGCTTGTCTGCATCGCCTTTAAACGCCTGCAGTTTCTTGATCTGCAGAGAAAATAAAAGAGAAAGAGGAAGCTCAGTAGGATCTATTACTCCGATTCACATAAACTGTCTTTTATCAGCAGCTTTGGTCTCCCATTCAACAACATTATGCTATTCATACTTTGTTCAAACCCCACAGACAATTAGACAAACACAGACCTCCTCTACATCGGGCAGGAGCTTCAGCAGGTCTTTGAGCAGCTCTGCTCCGTAAATCTTCCCTTCTCCTCGCCGTATATCTTCAACAATGGAGCGGTTGGATCTGAAAGAGGGACAGTTCAGTTCAATTAAGTTCAATGATAAATTGCACAGGTGCTCTCTTTTTATTGCTTGCTCCCAAAACAGACAAAAGCATTAAATCTAACTGTGCCTGAGAGAGTCAGATGTCCCCATCTGGTTTGGCTCCATCAAACAGGTAAAATAAACCAAAACTAATGACACAGACAACGTTATGAGCAACACAATCAAACGGATCATTCTCTCCAGTTTATACAAACCTTTTTTTTTTTAAAGCATCTTTTTTCTAGCTTTTATATTTGAGGTTGTAAACTGACTGAAAAAATCTAAAACCCCTGCAGAACTGAACTCTAAAATTACAAGCATCCACAGTAGTCTCTGCTGTACATGTGCATTTATTAAGTGTATGAAACTCATTCATCATGTCTTCTCAGCCATGCTTTGTTACTTTCGCTGAAGTGAATTCATGACATTTCCAGGTCTGTAGTGCTGCAACACGACACCCAATTACGTAGGAAGACCATAAGAAAACCTTCACGGACAATATCTAGTAAGTTGACACTGCAATATGATGCAATCCAGCACAGCAGCTCTGTGATAAAGATCAGCTTTTACAGCGTTTGTGACGCGTTTTGTTGAGAATGTTTCAAATACGAGGTTGTTCAAGTCTTGAGGCTGCAGCTTGTTGTATTTGATCACATTATCCTCTAAGGTACAGTTACTTGGTTCATGATTTCGTGCTTTGCGAGGCTGACAGCATTGTAATGGTATAGCAGAGCATGAAAAAAACAGTTCCATGTTGTTGGTGATTATTTTTATTTGACCTCTACTTTTAAATTATCTTGTTAAAAAAATACAGAGACTGTTGTTAAAACTAAATAAAAATCCTGATTGAAGTCTTGGGAAAGCTTCTAACATTTTCTATAGAGAAAATAAATCAGACATTTACTTTCTGTTTTTTTTTTTTTCTTTGCAGAGATGTAAAGTGACTAACAGTTAAAGCGCTTCAAAGGCTTGGACTGGCACAAAACTGTCTCGGTTGAATCATCGCCGGTATGAAAAATGAGCCTCTGTGTTAAAAATATCTGGTCAAAGGTGCATTTCTGTGTATGTAAACATCATAAGAGAAGCGTTCTGCTGCATGTGTTGTTAACAACAACGGAATCATTTAGGCTTTACTGAGTAGATGATGAAATATTCAGTAGTTTAAAGCGGCTACGGTCAATATTTTTAAGGTAACAATGCATTTAATGACAATGTGAAAACAAAACACAATGTCGAAGGCTCACACTGATGAACGTACACATAAATGTAACCTGAAACTGCAGAACACTCAGCTTCATAGAGGTTTAATGTAAAAGTCATCATCTAACTCACTCTTCTCACCGAGTCATTTTCTATATTTATATATTTCCTCATAGACAACAATCGCTGATGAACACAGTAAAGCTAAACACTCCTTTACCAACACTAAATATTAACATATATAATAAGATGTGGACCTCAAGAGCCGGTGGAGATGAAAACCAGAGTTAAAAGGATGGTGAATGTTGCTATTAAATTCAGCAGGAGAACACAAACTTCAGATCAGTGAATGATAATGTTGCTCCTTAACTGTTGTGTGTGCAGGCAACTTGTATTAACATACAAGATGATGACATGTGTTCATAACTTGTTTCCATCGCACCAAAATAGCCAAAGTTATCAGTGCTGCAGGTCCATCACACACATCCAATCTGTTAAATGAGGATGGACACACAGTTTGCTGCTCTTGTCCAGCTGAGAAACTCACTTGACACTAAAGTGATTTGAATCAAAAGCCACATCTGGAGCAGCTGGGAATTACTTTCAGTTTGTCCTTTTGGAAAAAAAACAAACAAAAAAAACAGGAAAAATATCAGCTAACTTTCAGATCCTGGGCCAGTTTTAGGCAGCAATGCTGTAATTATATTTTGTGAATGAAGTAAATTTGATAAAGCTCTGATTCCTCCCTCTGGCTGGTGTGTGGCACGCTGCTGCTGGTGGACACGTGGTATAAAAGACAGCTGAGGCTCAGTGGTAACATAACACTTAGAGCCATTCACAGAGCAAAAATACTAAATAATGTGATTTCTCAGAGGCAAGGCGGAAAAATCTGAAAGCTAAAATAACTTCTGGTATCATCAATTTGCCAAGTTAACTTGCATGTTTTAGTGAATTTTTGTAAAAGAGGTTCATGCGATAATATATTTTGGTCCAAATGTATTCGATTGTGCATCATGATGTGGTGAAAACTGACTCAAAGCGCCTGTAAACCCAGGAAGGATTGTTCTGTACATACAGGTAACACAGAAAAGCAACAAACAAACTAAACACTGGCTGTGATGAAGTCACTGCTCACATTTGGTCTTGACTTAGTACAGTATGGCGCACAGTCAAATGCCATTAAAATACAGTGGGGAGCAATGCAAATGGACCATCATGCAAACACAGGCCTCACACACTTTTTGCACACTGCCCCAGACTACTTACGTAACGCAGTACTGAGTCCAGTCGAACACACCTTGAGACTTCCTGAACCAATTAATTCTAAACAATGGCGCTCTAAGAAAGCCTATTAGAATAACTGACACAGATTTTGACCCTAATCTCCCTCAGTTATAATGGATTTGACAGATTCTCCTCAGTCAGGCACCAAAACACCGACTGAAGCTGAAAATGTTTCACTGTTGGATCTCATGTCTCTAAGGCCACAACACAAACAGCTGAAGAGTCACATAGGGAGGAAAAAGAAGCCACAAGGAAGGATAAAAATATATCCGATATATTTTCCCCTAATTTAAAGTTGAACTACCTTTCACTGGAGTCCTAGTTTACTTAAGAATGAGTTTTTGCTCATTAGGCACACAGAAAACTGTCACTGCCATCCTATAATAATGCTCAGATATTTCTTTTTCATCGGTACTTGTGCAGTTAACTTGTCAGCTAAATAAACATTGTGTAGGTTTACCATCCTCCTTCTGTCAAGACAGATTGTACCAGTACTCCTTCTGAACTCTAACAACACAATTCTTTTGTCTTTAATGAACAAAAAAGCTGAGATTTATTACATTTCTCCCACAGAAATATCTGTATATGTGTAGAGAAAGGAATGCAGGGTCTCTCCAATGTTGTTCTTCCTCACACAGCACTAGATCTCCATCCAGTTTAATTAGTTCTCCATATTTTGGACCAAACCAGCAGCATAAAATATGCATCAAAAAAACATCCAACATCCAAACAGCAAAAGCGTCTCAAATTAGACATTTGTGTGTGCTTTGTCAGGAGTTTACTAACAAATCCATATCCTCACACCTTCATCAGGCGAAATGTTTCTTCTAATTTATAGCTAGTTAATAGATTTTACCTGATGACAAAAGCAGCTGTCAATAAAACCATTAAAATGTCGAACGACGGGATAGGGAGAACACAATCAATGCCAAGATGCACTGAATCTGTTCTGCAGGCACATGTTGGACTAATAAAGTACTAGGGGTATTTAAAGTTGTTTTTCTTTAATTTGTCACCAATCTGTACTTGCTTATGCTCCATGAGGATTTACGTAAGCTGCTTTTCCCTCAGGTAGCCAGTGGAAGACTTACTTCTTAAACTGCTTGAGGAAAATGCCCACATTCATCCCCCTCTTTGAGTCAAGAATGCTGATCTGAAAAAAAAACAAAAGTGAAAGACATTGTGATGATACGGGATTTAGCAATTGTGGGTAAACAAACACACAATAAAACACATTTGTACATCCCCTTTATGTAGCACTCCTGGTTGTTGTTGCTAGTCACACCTACATTCCCACTGGGATGCTGACGCTCCCCAGAGCCACACGTGTTCACACCTCCTTCACTAACAACGGCTTGAACTTACTTCCTGGACCAGACTGTACAGTACAGTATGTATATGTTTAAAAAGGTTCCCTCACAAGGTCTAATTACAGCATGTAAATGGCAATTAGACACTTCTATGGTTTCAACTAAAGACGGTGAGGACAGGTGAGGCGAAGATGGAAGCAGTAATGAATCCATATAATTACCCTCCGGACGCCAAAACCCAACCGCAGGTTTGAAAGGGATGTTGTCGTTAAAAAACACACAAAAAAAAACGAAACGCCAAAATGACACAGAATTGTTGCATTATGACCTTTCCACTGGTCCTGGATCAATTAATCTTGTGTAATGTGCCATTCGGTCAGGAAGGTTAACCAAAGTTTAAAATTGTGACTTTTTTCTACATTTCATATTTAGAAATTCACCAAGAATAAACCATTTACACGAACCAGAGTCTGTAGAAAAGTAAAAATGCTGCTCTCTTCAGCACAATTAGGCATTCATTATACATACAGACAAAAGTTCTGTAACTTTTCGACTGAACTGCAGGCTGTGTTTGCACAGTGCAGGTAGGAGACGGAGCTGAAACTAATTAAAATGTAAACACCATTTTTTTAGAGCCACATGTGGACAATTGGAAAAATGTTGTCCATGTTGATTCAAGGTTTTTTCAGTTTTTGTAAAACAAGCCATCATAGAAATTCAACTTTATTTGTTTTTATGATTTATGATATTATAACTTTGTTATGTTGCACAAAAGACACATTTGACTTTCCGCCATGGCTGTGTTTTTTCTAATAATAACAACAACAACAACAACAACAACAACAACAACAATAATAATGGCCAACAAATATCCTAGAAATATATCTTTTGTGGTCATTTCACCTTTTCAAAAATGTCATGAAGTTATTATGCAGAGATTGTGGTTTCATCTAAATCGAAAACAGGAGCGTTCAGTAATTTCTCAGCTTTTCTCTGCAAACTGCTCAGGTTCTGAGTTTTGACCAACGGCAGTCAGTTCATTGTGTGAGTTATTCACCGAGCTTCCTTCACCTCACGCAGGTATTGCTTTACAGTTCGCATGTTACTTTCCAGGAGTACACAATGATGCAAGCATGCTTTTGTTCCGTTTATGAACACAAATGTTTTCTTTTTTTACAAACAAAGAAAAGCTGTAACTTAGCACGCTTACCTAACTCGTCCCTGCAGGGATACCTTGATACAGTAGGAGCACAGCAGAGTTATGTACTGCAGCTTTGTTATTTATGAACGTGGGACTTTCACATCGGTGGTGTGTTCAGGACCTGAGGCAACCAGCATGGGTTGCACATGGTTGTTAAACAGCAGCAGGATATGTTAAGAGGTTCTACGTGTCATGACTTCATGTTTTGACGAATTAATATTAAATTCAATCAAATAAATCTAACCTCATTTTTCAAACAAAGAAAAAAGTAGTGACCCCCCATCTGTCAGCCATTTGTACTCACTGTATTTAGCTGGGATCCTTTAGATCAGTAAGATTCAGGTCTGAACTGTGATCACAAAAGGTCATTTTTAAGGAGGACCTGTCGCCATCAATAACTGTCCCTTCACTCACCTCATCTTTGCTGCTCTCCTTGAAGGAGCGTGATCGGGATACACGAGCTGAGCTTCCAGTCGTTGGCGTTGACCCCCGTAGGCCTGCCGCTGCCTCCTCCTGCTGCCCGAACAGCTCCTCCACAGAGCGAACGTCGATCTGGTACTGCTGCTGCCGCACCGCCATCGTCCAGATGTTTGGCTTCCCGCGCACCTTCTCCTCTGGGATCGGCTTCCAGAAGAAGCTGCGCACGCGGCGCTTTTTCCTAAAGTTGTGGTTGGTGGACGTGGTCGCTGGGGGTGGAGGGGGCGGCGGTGCCCCTGGAGGTGGGGGCGGGAGGGGAGGAGGCGGTGGAGCTTCATGCTGGGTGGCGTTGGGGGCGTCGCTGAGGGAAGGCAGGGTGGAGTGAGTGCGTCCGGACATGGAGGATGGGTCCGAGGTAGTGATGGAGGATGTGGTGCAGCTGCTCCCCTCGCTGCTGCAGCTCTCTGGCTCATTGGTTGTGGATGGACAACTCATAACAAGCATCACAAGGATGAACAGTCAGCATACGACCGATGCTGAACGAGTAAAGCACACAAACTAAAAAATAAGTACGTCCTGGTCTTAGAAAAGGACTTCCGAGGAACTAATCTGTTTTCATATTAGTGCATCACTTCAGTCTGGAGAACATCAAAATGCTGCCGTGTGCGTCCCTCACTTCTTGAAGAAGGTAAGTGTCCCTTCATCTAGTAACAATGAAGGGAGCGTGTCCTTTGATTCTGTCCATCTCCATCTCTCAGCTGGTCATCCATCGCACTGAGCAGAGCCTTTGAAGGTTATCTCCCAGGGGAAGAGAGTGGGGGGCGGCGATGGCCATGGAGCTACGAGGGCAACAAAAACAACATAGGACAGGATTATACAGAGGTAGTCATGCATGCCGTCATGGACAATCTGGAATGAGAGGAAATTAAGGGGTGCGACAGATCAAAAGAGAAGGGGTACCCAGTCAAAGAGGCTCACAATGAGGGAAATGGCAAATCCGATTTTTTTCGATTTTTGAGTGGCTTTGAAGTCGGGCTCTGGGGTGTATAATGGCCAGAGACATGACACACACAGATTAGCTTCAGTTACACAGTTTGGTATCTTTTTAAAACCGTTCTCATGTCATGGGCCACTAAGAAAGACAACGAATGTAACTGAAGATAAAGAAAAAAGAGGAAAGTCCACAGAGATCTTATTTTATAATGTCACATGCAGCTGTTCACTGTTGGTTTGGCATCAAGTGGACAAACACTGGACCTCGACGTGACAACAAAGGTGATATGTCAAGTAAATGAAGTTTCAGTTTTAGAATTATTCTTTGTTGTTAGTTTAATGAATGTAGTTAAATCAATTCATTGCAGATTAATATAATCTGAAATAATCACTGAACTCTACTGAGACTTGTTGATGTAAATCACAGGAACACATACGTGAAAACAACAGTCAGTCTCTCATGTGTTCAGATCAGCATCACCTGTTGCCATAGTGAAGGGCTTGTCACATAGCAACACCATTAACAAAACAACATAATACACCAGAAAAAACTTGTCAGATTAGTATGAAAGGTCACCCTGGAAAGGAAACAGAAAGAAATTTATGTTCCCAGGTCCAGAGACAGACGCATCCACAACTGCTCATCTGGTATTCTCAGATGTCAACCTATAAGCTGCCTCACGCCCTCCAGGACCTCAACCACAGAACATTTAATAGAAGACTCTTGCAAAACTTTGCTGATAGCTCATTTATTCTACATAAACATACAGCACAACACATGTTTTTATTGAGGATGATTTTTTATCTTTTTTTGGCCTTTGTGCCTTTATTTGATCAGTGAGAGAGAGACAGGAAAGTGGGGGAGAAGAGTAGGGGGAGGACGTGTGGGAAAGGGTCATGAGAGGGATTCGAACCCATGACCTCCACATCGGGACTGTAGCCCTGTACATGGGACGGCAGCTCAACCAGGTGAGCTATACTGGCGCCCTTAAGGATGATTTTTTAAGAAGAGCTGTGCTAAATGGGACATTCTGAAAAGAAAATTAAACTAGTGAAGAGGTTTCTGTTTAGGATATTTCTTTATTGAGTCCCATAGGGGAAATTCAGGAGACTTTTTATGGGTTTATGGAAAACTGTTTCTGATTGACCTCTGACATTTCTGTAGAAAAATGTCTTGTTACTAGTGTTAACCGCTAAATCCTTCATTGTCATCACAGTGTTATAATGCTCTATGAAAAAACAGTGCCAATGACTGATTCAAATACAATTTATCAGAACAATCATTGTATCTCTACATGCACCATGGATTCCCACTCAGCATGGAGACATCTGACCTGGATACATGGGTCATGCACTCGAGCCATTTAGGAAATGAGATTAAGTCCCATCCACACTCAGAAACACTTTTTGGACGTTTTTGTTGAATTTCGAGTTCAGAACTAAATATTTTAAAGCGGGAAATATTCAACTTTAATTTCTGATAGTTAGAATGTCTTATTAATTTCTGCTTAATTGGTTGGGTTTTTCCAATGCAGATGCTCAATTAAGGCAGGTTTAAAATAAATAATTGTCATTTCTTTAGTTAGAGGGAAGCTGTTTAGGGGATCTATTGAAGCAGAAAGAACTGTATAGCTTGTATACTTTAATATTTGTTTATTTATCAAAAGTCTTACTGTAATTTACATACTGAACAATGGTATCACACAGCAGATTTTCCTCATATCACATTCCTTATCAGCTGACATATACACAGACACTGACGTATCTGCGGTGAGCTAACATCAGACAATATATGAGCGCTGTAGACTTTTCCTCTGCTGACAAACACTGATGTATGAAAAGCCGATCGGTATTACTTTAGGTCCTCCTTATTTAGCATTTCCTGTATTAGAAGCTTTCAACAAACACTTAACAAATGATTTATAAGATGCTATGATGTAGTTGTACACAGCTAGTTAGAAAGTTATTATTTATGTACAGTATTTGTCTGCAATAAAAACGTATTAGATATTGTTAAAATGTCATTCATTATTACATCATATACAGTCATTTATTATCATGTGGGTCTTCACCTGTGAGTGGCAACATGAGGAGTTATAGTTATTAACAATTACATTTTTTAATTAATAATAAACCTACATCTGCTCAACATGACATTAAAGTGTGTTTAAAAAATAAATGAACTATTTAGTGCTTGAAAATACTAATAGGAACCTAAATGTAGAATTTATCTGGGGGCTGTAATGCTCGTTAACATTTTTGGAAAATCTAATCTCGTCGGACAATAATTAAAACAGCAGTCACGAACACCACCGTGTTTTAAATGATAATTTGTTTGAGCACCGTATGAGTGGATATGGAGCTCACAGGCCAGAAAGAAAGGAAGCACTTGAGTCTCCCCCTCCTTGTCGTCGTTAAATCAACGGCTGCACTATAGCGCTCAGTTGGAGGGAAACTAGTTGTGTTTCAGGAGAAGACATCACTCACTGACAGAGCTGACATGTCCACAGTGATCTGATACTCCTCTGTAAAAAACAAAGAAATAAACAGAAGGTCTCACAGAAAGCTGGAGATAAATCAGAGGTCCGGTGCTGATAGGACTCATAGTGTGCTGCTTTCGGCACCTTGAAGAAAAGGATTTGGTTTCAGGGAAAATAATCAGATTCAAGTTAAGATCATTCGCATAGAAGTAATCATAAATGGTATCAAACGGCTTCCAAGTGGCCACATTCTGGTGATTTCTACAATCATCCCTCTGCCTCTTACACAACTGTAACATCTTACTGCTAATCTCCCATTGGTTCCACCTGATACCCAGAGGTTATTACTAATGAATAAAGCAGACGTCACTAATGGCCTCATGTTGCCAACATCAGCCTGCACGCTCAGCTGTTCTGTCCTCAGAGCTGGACCACACCAGCACTCATGTTTCATTCATGAGACCGTCAGAACATCTGACCTCACACTGAGTCATCTCCTTCTGCGGTGCTACCACACGGCCACTCAGCAGATGTTATGGAGGAAAGAGTTAAAACTGCTGCCACCTCATGCGCTGCTGTAATATCTTTATCTTATTTCTTTATTATATTTATGGTTCGATATCATCTCAGATGCTTTACAGGAGCTCTTAACTGCTTTCTTGGAGAGTGTTGGATGAGATCAATAATCCTCATGTCTGTTTGTGAAATATGAAGCTCCAGCTGAGCAGCGTGGTAAGATGCTGCAAACCAAAGAAGTGCACAAAGACTCCAGAGCTGCCAAACTTAAAAGGAAACTATTGAACATTCAAAATCCAGACTGTGGAGCATCGAACTTGAGTTTGTTTTAATGTCTGTGAGTCACAGTCAGTGCTTGAAGGTCACAGCGGACCCACGAGTTAACAAGCTGACTGCAGTGAGCTCCTGTATGCAGCCTTCAAGACACACTGTGTCAGCCGAAGGGGTCAGGGTGAGCGTAAATGCTTGTCCGTCTCTTTCTTTAGACCTGAGATGGACTGGAAGCCTGTTCTGCAAGTAGCCTGCCTTTTGACCAGTGTGAGCGAGGACAGACAGAGACAAACATAAACTTATTCTACAGCTTAGGTTATCCTAAAGACTTGAAAACAGCTTTATTGGCTGTGTAAAAATGGCTGTAAACACCTCTAAAACGTACTAATTAACATATTAAAGCTTGTTTGTTTCATTTGTACAGAGCTCTAGTCTCACATAATCTAGGTTGACAGTTAGCCTCGCACAGACTGGGTTTAATATGCTTCATTGTTTTCTGTGAATTCAACACAAAACCACACTGTGTTGACTGAGCAGCTTTGTAGGTGGATACAGCCATGCCAGCTGGTTCTCCCAGTTTCTGGTATTTATGCTAAGCTAGTTAGCCATCACTACAAACATGAGAGTTGAATGAATCCAACTCTCACCGAGAAAGCGAATGAGTATACTTCCTGAAGTGTCAAACCATCTTTTTAAACTGAGCTCAAACTTGGTAACAGCCTGCAGTTTCCCTGTCAGCACTGTGTTAATGCACTCAGCCAGAAGGTACATTAATCGTGCCTCTCTAAAGAAATGAGCTCTGTGTCAGTGATTGGTTTGTGGTATTTCACATCCATTTAATTCTAGTTCACACTGCCAAGCGGCAACGCGGCGGTAACCGACATCATTTCCCTAACATGATTTAGAAAAGGAAACACACCTGTCAGTAACACTACACAGAGAAGGCCTGAGGGAAAGAAAGCAGAGAGACAGTTTCCAGGTTCCACACATCCACCTGCTGCCATTAATGAACACAGAGCTTCATATAAAGGTCCATCTGTGGTCAACCCTGAGGCATTTCCACTCCTATCAGTCTTCATTATGGACAGGAAACACCCCACCCTCTGTCATTAGTCTCTGACGGGTAACACAGCCTAAGTTAACAAAGGTCAGTGTTATTGTGTCTTTTACAACAGAGGGGTCTGGGACACCTCCTAGAATACAACTGGGAACTGATACTTTGGTACCAATTTGTTGCCAAAATTCTGAAAACATGATGGATTTCATTTTTTGTATGTAACTTTAGTGACTTAGTACGGGCATTTTATGAGATATTTCACAAATCTGCCAACTAAATCGTCACCAAACAATTTCTTCACCAATATGTTTGTAAAGGTGTGTAATAACATGTTTTAAAATGCTGAAGTTCAACTATGCAGACCCAGGACTGGATCCTTCTACAGAGCATGTCTCTGAAGCCCAGTGACTATGGATGGACATTAGGTGTGCATGGGTATGAACCAGTTCCAACACTAGACCTCATGGCTCCTGAGTTGCTACTGAAGTTCATGAGCTGTGATTTTCATGGAGACTG